AAACTTTTGGTAGGGGGGGGATGAGGAGATGTGGATCAAAGGGTACAAACTTTCAGTTATAAGCTGAGTAAGTCCTGGGGATCTAATGTACAGATGATGATTATAGTTAATAATACTGTACTGTATACTTGATATTTGCTAAGATCTTAGATGCTTTCACCATACATAAAAAATGGTAACTATATGAGGTGATAGCTGTGTCAATTAACTTGATTGTGGTAATCATTTTATAATGTATACATATATTAAATCATTACATTGTACCTCTTTAAAAACACATCACGTGGTATATATAATTTTTGTCAGTCATACCTCAGTAAAACAGGAAAAGAATGACTTTTTCCTCTTGATCATAACACTAATATATTCATATTGTAAAGAATTTTAAAACTTCTGAAAAGTACAGGTAATAAACATCAATGCAGTCCATCACTCCATCCCAGACAGGAGCAGCAGCCTTTGGGTATATTCTTGCAGGCTTCCTTGTGCCTTCTTAAATTGCTTATTGCCTTTTCCTTTTTCCAAAGCTGAGATCATACTCATAAAATTTTTGTGGCCTGCAGTTGAGGCTGCATAGAGAAGCAAAAATTGTAACATAAAAATATTCACTGATGAAATGACCACTCAGCATTTCTGATTTTTCCTGTAAAGCTTGAATTTATTCACTCATTTAACCACTGTTTCTGTCTCTATGCTGGGGGGTATTACAATACAGATGGATTGGGAAGTTATTTCTTGATGTCAGTGAAGGATACTGGAGATCTATGTGCTCACTGACAAATCTGTCTAGGTTGGACCAGTTGAAAAACTGATGGAAGAAATCAACAGAGATGACAACAAGATAGGCACTTTATTTTTTTTTTAAATTTTACTTATTTATTAGAATGGGGGAGCACAGAGGGCTAGGGAAAAGCAGGCTCCCCGCTGAGCAGGGAGCCTTATGAGGGTCACAGAGAGCCTGATGCGGGACTTGATCCCAGGACCCCAGGATCATGACCTGAGCTGAAGGTAGACACTTAATCAACTGAGCCACCCAGGTGCCCTGAGGATAGGCTCTTTAAAAGAAGAGTATTGGACATGACATCATATTAACATAACCTTTGGGGAACATCAGTATAACTCCCGGGTAGTGTTGCCATTATGATGCCATGTAAGCAAGACGAAATGAAGGCTATGATGTTCTATTGTCTATCATTTTGTTGGAAAAATCACCCCCCCCAAAAAAACACCCATTTAAAAAAATTTTTTATTGTTATGTTAATCAGCATACATTACATCATTAGTTTTGGATGTAGTGTTCCATGATTCATTGTGCATAACACCCAGTGCTCCACGCAGAACGTGCCCTCTTTAATACCCATCACCAGGCTAACCCATCCCCCCACCCCCCTCCCCTCTAGAACCTTCAGTTTGTTTTTCAGAGTCCATCATCTCTCATGGTTGGTCTCCCCCTCCGATTTCCCCCCCTTCATTCTTCCCCTCCTGCTATCTTCTTTTTTTTTTTTCTTAACATATATTGCATTATTTGTTTCAGAGGTACAGATCTGTGATTCAACAGTCTTGCACAATTCACAGCACTCGCCATAGCACATACCCTCCCCAGTGTCTGTCACCCAGCCACCCCATCCCTCCCACCCCCGCACAACTCCAGCAACCCTCAGTTTGTTTCCTGAGATTAAGAATTCCTCATATCAGTGAGGTCATATGATACATGTCTTTCTCTGATTGGCTTATTTCACTCAGCATAACACCCTCCAGTTCCATCCACGTTGTTGCAAATGGCAAGATCTCATTCCTTTTGATGGCTGCATAATATTCCATTGTGTGTGTGTGTGTGTGTGTGTGTGTATATATATATATATATATATATATATACCACATCTTCCTTTATCTGTCGATGGACATCTTGGCTCTTTCCACAGTTTGGCCATTGTGGACATTGCTACTATAAACATCGGGGTGCATGTACCCCTTCGGATCCCTACATTTGTATCTTTGGGGTAAATACCCAGTAGTGCAATTGCTGGATCATATAAAACCCCACTATTTTTAATCATTCTTTGATCCAATATTTAGTACATGAGTATAAAGGTTGCCTATATGTTGTTAAACTAAGTATGTTTTATCTTAACATTTATAGGGTACTTTTTCAGTATAAATTTCCTATCAAATTTTTGTTTCCCATTATGAATATGAATGCTTACTATGAATATGAATACTTAATAGCCTTTTACTAGTACTATTTATTGGTGATAACAGGGAACACCTGTATTTAATTTTTTCTTAATTCTCTAAACTGTTTATATCTGCTGTAATAAACACTGTAGTTCCCCTTACCTATGGTTTCACCTTCTGCAGTTTCAGTTACCCGAGATCAGCCTCGGTCTGGAAGCAGATGATCCTCTTTCTGACATGTTGTCAGAAGGTCAGTGGTAGCCTAATGCTGCTGCCTGTGTCATTCCCCTCCCTTCATCTTATCACATAGGCATTTTATCATCTCACATCATCAGAAGAAGAGTGAGTATAGTTCAGTAAGATATTTTGAGAGACCACATTCATATTACAGTATATTGTTATAATTCTATTTTGTTATTGTTAATCTCTTACTATGCCTAATTTATAAATTAAACTTTATCATAGGTGTGTATGTATAGGAAAAACATAGTGTGCATAGGGTTTGACACTCAGTGCAATTTCAGGCATCCACTGAGGTCTTAGAACGTATCCCCTGAGGATAAGGGGGCGGGGACTACCATAGTAACCAGATAACCACATTTTTTTTTCTAGTGAGTAAGCATATGCTAGAAAAGCTAATTTTATCTAAAATTAAGTACATACTTAAAAACATATAACTACAGGTCATAATAAATTTCCTTAACCTTTTTTAGGTCTAAATATCGGTCCAATGTAGAAGGTATCACTTCTGTCTTTCCTGGAATTAAGGCCAGATTTCTCATACTCTTCTCATTCTGATATATTGATGACTAGTCATCATTAGACTGGTGTATGTAAAAAATCTTTGCTAATCTGCTGAAGTGGGTTTTTGATTGTGTGCTTTTATTCTTTTTTTTTTTTTAAAGATTTTATTTATTTACTTGACAGAGACAGCGAGAGAGGGAACATGAGCAGTGGGAGTAGGAGAGGGAGAAGCAGGCCTCCCGCTGAGCAGGGAGCCTGATGACGCAGAGCTTGATCCCAGGACCCTGGGATCATGACCTGAGCAGAAGACAGACGCTTAACGACTGAGCCACCCAGGCGCCCCATGCTTTTATTCTTTTAATTATCATAGTTGTCATATAAAAAATTAGCCTCTGGGGTATTTGTGCTCTATTCCAATTCTCCAAGATCCTTCTTTTTGCCCTGCACATGAATCACCTGGCGATCTTGGTAAAGGGAATGTTCTGATTTGATAGGCATGGTGGGGGCAAAATTCTGCATTTGAAACCAGCTCACATGTGAAGCCAATGCTGCCAGCCTTTGGACCACACTTTGAATTGTAGGGCTTTTGATAACAGTTTTGGGAACAAAAGCCAGTCAAAGCATATTGATGCCATTTCTTGTTATAACTTTATGACACATGCCTAGTTTATTAGTAATACATATTTTTCCAACAGGGATATAGATGTTGAATTATAACTTGTAGTGTGTGAGTTTTCTGTAGTTTTTGTGTTGGGCATACTTTCTACAGTGGTGGCATTTAGAATGAACATACCGATGATGACAATAATGATATAATAATAATTGACAGGTACTGACCACTTACTGGCCTCAGACACTGTGCTTTACAAAGATTGACTATATTTTCCAAATAAAACCATGAAGTAGACATTATTATTGTTACCCCATTTAAAAATGAGGAGGGCTTGGTAACAAGTTAAATGACTTGCCCATGGTCACACAGCCAGAGTGGGGACAGAACCAGGACATCAATACAAGTAGTCTGACTCTAGAGCTTATCGTTTTAATCTCTTTACTAGTCTGACAGTAGTCTGGAAACTAGACTTCATAAAATGGATTTCCTAGCTTCTCTCTCAATTGCTGTAAGATATATTTGATTTCTCTAGCTTCTTTCCCAAAAGACTTTTTAAAGATTTTTCTTATGTTTTCCTTTCTTGTGGCTTTCCCAAGATACTAGTGATCTCTAGCTTTTAGTCTTCCTTTCTGCATATTTGTGTTAGAAAAGATCTCAACTTTCAGATTCTTTTGATGTAAAAATTTATGAAGAATAAGAAGTAGGTAGTACCCGTCCCTGAATGAAAGATAAAAGTGTTTTTAGTAACACTGACACTGTTTTCTTTGAAAGACTAGCCCTGGAAAACTTCAGATTTTATAAGATTGTCACAGAAGAATGGTTGATTCTTTTGTGTGTTCTTAAAAATTGGGGCATTTTTGTCTTTTTCTGAATGGCAATTATAATTCAGTGATTAGTCTGGAGACATACCTTCCACTCTGAGTTCTCCTGCCAGACCACCAAATTGTCTTATCGAAGCCAAGGAGCCCCTCTGCCTTGCCTTCTCAGACTGTCAGATGATGACACTATGAGAGACTATGGACTCAGAAACAAACTGAAGGTTCTAGAGGGGAGGGGGGTGGGGGGATGGGTTAGCCTGGTGATGGGTATTAAAGAGGGCACATTTTGAATGGAGCACTGGGTGTTATACGCAAACAATCAGGGAACACTACATCAAAAACTAATGATGTAATGTATGGTGATTAACATAATAAAATTAAAAAAATTTTTTTTAAATAAATGAAATACAATACCTTTAAACACTCAGCGTGTGAAGGGAAAGAGGATTTGTAAGTACAGAGGTGTTTGTAAAAATTTGTGACAATGAATGAAAGCTGTTTAGAATCAGTTATGGTACCTCCCTTGCAGTTTCATTTGGAAATCAATAAACACAGCACAGGTCATGATCCATAAGAATATAACTGGTTTATTACTCATCTCAAAGCAATAAGACGCTATTTATTTTCATTATCCCTGTTTTTTTTTACAGTCCATCAATATTATGGAACTGACTTTACAGAAATATGGAAGTTATGAAAAATTTGAGCAGGCCACTGGTGGCAGCCTGCTATCTAAAACTCGAATCTGGAGTCATGTTCGGAAGTACATGATGAAAGAAGGCTGCCTGGGTGAGGTATGAATTGGGAGTGATACAAGATGCTGTTGGCATTTTAACTGCTCATTTAATTAGTCACCCAGAGATCTCACTAAATTGAATTGCTGTGTTCAGTTTCTTTGTGTTTTTCTTTACTTACTACCCTCTCTGTATAGCCTATGGGATTATGGGAATTGTTTTATGAAAATTACTAATGAAGCAATTTGCCTCAGTGGCCTCCTCTTATTAGCAGCCAGTTCAAAATGGTCAAGCAGAGAAGCGGACTCTGGCTTGTGTATCTTCCTTTGCCTCATTTTAACCTGGGGGGACTGTATTTGACAGCACAACAGGGCACTGCCTCCTCAGCACAGCCCTCTACTTTCCTTTAATCCAGGAAAGGTTCTTGAGTTGTGCATGCTCAAAAGTGGAAGGGTCAAAAGTGATTATCATTTTCTTGGTATCTGGGAGATTCAAACTGGTACAAGCAAAACAAAAATATACTGTATCATATCTCACTGATATGAGGAATTCTTAATCTCAGGAAACAAACTGAGGGTTGCTAGAGTGGTGGGGGGTTGGGAGGGATGGGGTGGCTGGGTGATAGACATTGGGGAGGGTATGTGCTATGGTGAGCACTGTGAATTGTGCAAGACTGTTGAATCACAGATCTGTACTTCTGAAACAAATAATACATTATATGTTTAAAAAAATAGGAAGGGAAAAATGAAGGGGGGGAATCGGAGGGGGAGACGAACCATGAGAGACTATGGACTCAGAAACAAACTGAAGGTTCTAGAGGGGAGGGGGGTGGGGGGATGGGTTAGCCTGGTGATGGGTATTAAAGAGGGCACATTTTGAATGGAGCACTGGGTGTTATACGCAAACAGGGAACACTACATCAAAAACTAATGATGTAATGTATGGTGATTAACATAATAAAATTAAAAAAAATTTTTTTTAAATAAATGAAATACTGATTTATGGGTCTCTTGTTTCCTGTGAAAGCTTCCTCTCTCCAGCCTTTACATTTTATTTTTTTCCTCTTCTTAGATCGTAGTTCATCTCACTGAAGACCTGCTGTCCCGAGCTTCAATGACAGTGGTAAATGGGTGCCCAACATTGACCATTAATGTTTCCACAGCACGTGAGCACTGGCTGGAGGGAATGCTGAGGCATGAGATAGGTAGGGGCAGCCCTTCTCCATTTGTTCACTTGTAATATCAGAAATCAGCAGCAAAGAAACATTCTTTTATAATGGGTTTTTTCTTAACAGTATTTGGCAAAAGGTAATGAAATTGTTAGGTTTTACTTGAACTAAGATATCGTCTCACTTCAAATTAGATTTTTTTAGGGTACCATGTAGCTGTGTTAAGCTTGGAAAGTCATTTAACTCCTGGATTTCACTTCCCCATGTTTCTGAAACTGAGGGAAATGGAACTGAGTGCTCTCTGAGATTCTCTTCAAATATCAAGTCTCTGATTCTTCCGTTTAAGAAAATAAATGGTATAAAAGTTACACCTGTTCTAATGAGACATGGGGACCTTCTGAAGGCAGAGTAGCTCCTTCAAAAGGCTTTAGGGTCAGGTCATTTTCCACTTTGTCTTGATTCATAGGTATACATCAATTTGATTTTAGAACTGTTGGTAGAATCTTTTTTGGATAAGAATTAAAATGAGAATGTCCTTTCTTGTTTTTCACGCACCTTTTCTTCTCCACAGGCACACATTATTTTCGAGGTATTAACAACCTTCAGCAGCCATGGAACAGTTGGACTGGCCGCAAAAAACATGAGCTAAAGCCAAACAATCCCACAGAGGAAGGACTGGCAAGTATTCACAGTGTCCTTTTTAGAAAAGACCCCTTTTTATGGAGGGCTGCCCTCCTCTACTACACTGTTTATCGAGCCAGCCAAATGTCTTTTTGCGAACTCTTCAAAGATATTGGAAAGTTTGTCAAGGACCCCAATACAAGATGGGATTATTGTGTACGAGCCAAGAGGGGATGGACTGATACTTCTCAACCAGGTGAGTGTCTCTTGACTGTAGATTTGCCTTATGGTTAGTTGTCTATTGATTTTGATTAAATCCTTATCCACCAATCAGAGAAATCACTCACTTATGAAAAATTAAACCTTTGTTACTTGAGGGCTGTGCTAGTTTTCCCAAACCATATTTTGTTAGCATTCTTTTTTCAGATCTCATTTTGAAAAATTTCAAACCTAACAGAAATATGGAAATGATAGAATTAACACTCATATTACCCATCCTCTAGATTCACCAATTGTTAACATTTTTCTTGCTCTGATTTTAAAAACAGCTTTACTGAGATATAATTCACACGACCTACAGTTTGCCCATTTTAAAATGTATAGCTCAGTGGTTTTTAGAATGTTCATGGAGTTGCGCAGCTATCACCACTAATTCTAGAACATTTTCGTAACCCCAAAAAGAAACCTGTACCCATTAACGGTCATTCTCCATTCCTTCTTCCCCAAGCTCCCAGCTTTAAGTAACCATTAATCTGCTTTTATAGGTTTGCCCATTTTGGACATTTCATTTAAATGGAATCACATAATATGTAATCCTTTGTGTCTGACTTCTTTCACTTAGCATGATGTTTTTAAGGTTCATCCTTTTGGTAGCATGTATCAGTATTCAGTCCTTTTTATTGCTGAATAACATTCTATTGCATGTATAAGACACATTTTATTTTTCCACTCACTGTTAATGGACATTTGAGTTGTTTCCTCACGTTTTGGCTATTATAATGTTACTGTGAACATTTGAGTACAAGTTTATATTTTTAATTCTCTTGGGTATATACTTAAGAGTAGAATTGTTGGGTCATATGGTAACTCTCTGTTTAAGCTTTTAAGGAACTGCCAGAATGTTCTCCAAAGTGAATGCAATATTTTATATTCCCACCAGAAGTATATGGGATTCTTATTTTTCCATGTCCTTACCAACACTTACCAATACTTGTATTTTCATTTTTAAAATTATTATAATCATCCTAGTGGGTATCTCATTGTTTTGTTTTAATTTTTTAATTAAAAAAATTCCAGTATAATTAACAGTGTTATATTAGTTTCAGGTGTACAATATAATGATTGAACAGTTCTGTACATTATTCAGTGCTCATCACGATAAGTGTACTCTTAATCCCCATCACCTTTTTCACCCATCCCCCACCCACCTCCCCTCTGGTAACCCTGTTTTTTCTCTATATTTGAGAGTCTGTTTTTTTTGTTGTTGTTTTTCTTTGTTTTGTTTCTTAATCTCCATATATGAGTGAAATCATATGGTACTTGTCTTTGAGTTATTTCAGTTAGCATTATACCCTCTAGATCATCCCATGTTGCAAATGGCAAGATTTCATTCTTTATTATGGCTGAGTAATAATCCATTGTGTGTGTGTGTGTGTGTGTGTGTGTGTGTGTATGTATATAAAAACACACATATATAAACATACACCACATCTTTATCCATTCATCTGTCATACACAGGTTGCTTCTATTAATTTGGCTATTGTAAATAATGCTGCAGTAAACACAGGGGTGCTTATATCTTTTCAAATTAGTGTTTTCGTATTCTTTGGGTGAATACCCACTAGTGCAATTACTGGATCATATGGTAATTCTGATTAAGAACCATCATATGGTCTTCCACAGTAGCTGTACCAGTTTGCATTCCCACCAACAGAGCACCAGGGTTCCTTTTTCTCCACATCCTCACCTTGCTTCTTGTGTTTTTTATTTTAACCATTTTGACAGGTGTGAGGTGATATCTCACTGTCGTTTTGATTTGCCTTTGCCTGATGATGGGTGATGTTGAGTATCTTTTCATGTATCTGTTGGCCATCTGTATGTCTTTTTTTTTAATGTTTTATTTAAATTCAATTTAATTAACATATAGTATATCATTAGTTTCAGAGGTAGAATTTAGTGATTCATCAGTTGCATAGATTACCCAGTGCTCATTACATCGAGTGCCCGCCTTAATGCCTATCACCCAGTTACTCCATCTCCTTCCCCTCCAGCATGTATGTCTTCTTTAGAAAAATGTCTCTTTGTGTCTTCTGCCCATTTTTAGTTGGATTATTTCAGGGTTTATTTGGTGTTGAGTTGTATAAGTTCTTTATATATTTTGATTACAAACCCCTTATTAGATATACCATTTGCAGATAGGTATCTTTTGCCATTTAGTAGGTTTTTTGTTCTGTTGGTTGTTTCCTTTGCAGTGTAAAAGCTTTTTATTTTCATGTAGTGCCAATAGTTTATTTTTGCTTTTGCTTCCCTTGCTTCAGGAGACATATCTAGAAAGATGTTGCTATGGCCAGTGTCAAAGCAATTATTGCCTGTGCTCTCTTCTGTGATTTTTATAGTTTCAGGTCTCACATTTAGGTCCCTAATTCATTCTGAGTTTATTTTTGTGTATAATGGAAGAAAGTGGTCCAGTTTTCCCAGTGTCATTTGTTAGACTTTTTCTCATTGCATATTCTTGCTTTGTCAAAGATTAATTGACCATATAATCATGGGTTTATTTCTGGGCTCTTTATTTTGTTCCATTTATCTACGGTCTGTTTTTGTACCAGTACCATACTGTTTTGATTACTAGAGCTTGGTAATATATCTGGAAATCTGGTATTATGATAACCTCCAGTTTTATTCTTTTTCCAGATTATTTTGGCTATTTGGGGTCTTTTGTGAGTCCATACAAATTTTAAGATTATTTGTTCTTGTTCTATGAAAAATGCTATTGGTATTTTGATAGGGATTGCTTTAAATCTGGAGATTGCTGGGTAGTATGGACATTTTAACAATAGTCTACAAATCCATGAGCATGGAATATCTATTTGTGTCATCTTCAATTTCTTTCACCAGTGTTTTATAGTTTCTAGAGTACAGGTCTTTCACCCCTTTGGTTAAGTTTATTCCTAGATATTTTATTATTTTTGGTACAATTGTAAATGGGATTTTCTTAATTTCTCTTTCTGCTGCTTCATTGTGTATAGAAATGCAGTGGATTTTTGTATATTGATTTTGTATCCTGCAACCTTACTGAATTCATTTATCAGTTCTAGGAGACTTTTAGTGGAGTCTCTATATTAAGTTGATGATCACCTAAGTTTGAACCCATACAAAAACATTAAATTTGTACTCCTCTCTGTACCACATTTTAGGTATGTGGTGTCATGACCTGAACCACAATCAAAAGCCAGATGTTCAACCAACTTAGCCACTTATGTGCCCCCACTTAACTTTAAGAAAACTGTTTATTACTAAAAGTTTGAAATTTGAAAAATTTCAAATTTCAAAAGTGATTAATCGGATGTGCCCTCATTAAACATCACTTAATCTTAGTAATTATCAACATTTCCTAGCCGTGGGTCATCTATTTTTCTAAGTTCCTGTTTTTCTATAGTATTTTAAAGCCAAGTACTTCAATATGTATCTTATTTCTCCTAAAAAGTAGGAACAGCTCATGAGATCTGAGCCTAGCTGAAAAAGTGTCCTACCTTATTTCCATAATTCCCATGCTATAGCATACCTAAAAAAATTATGACTTAATATGATAGAATTTTAGTCCATTTAATAGAGCAGAATTTTAGAAAATTTACAGAAGTTATGTCATGATGGGAAGAAGTTTTCTTTTTGTAAGTGGAACACTTTAGGCTCAGATCTCATGAGCTGTTCCTTTTCATGTTTTCATATTTTCTTCTACTTTTAAACCTCCGTATTAATATCCAGTTCTTTTTTTTTTTTTTTAAAGATTTTATTTATTTATTTGAGAGAGAGAGAATGAGAGATAGAGAGCACGAGAGGGAAGAGGGTCAGAGGGAGAAGCAGACTCCCCGCCAAGCAGGGAGCCCGATGCGGGACTCGATCCCGGGACTCCAGGATCATGACCTGAGCCGAAGGCAGTCGCTTAACCAACTGAGCCACCCAGGCTCCCAATATCCAGTTCTAATTCTTGTTTTCATATGGAGGAGGAGTATCGACATCACCTATAGATGTTTTTAATGGGGTAACGGGTAGTATTTTTTTTAAAAACCAGGAGTTTCTGAAATCCCATGTCTCCACCTTGCCCCCTGTGAGACTTACTGCTCAATAGCTGTCCTCCCTGCTGCCCCAAGTGCCTCCATACACATGGGAGTTAAGGTTATGATCAAATGGTGGGAGTGTGGATGACATATCCTATATTTTAAATCACCAGTGTTTATGATTAGAAAAGTGCTGTTTTAACTATGGGGAATGGAATTCTTAAAGGGAAGCTACCAGTGTGCACATTTTCCTGGTGCTACCCAAGACCTTGCATTTTAGGTTATGAAGATAGTTAATTCTAATTTGCCATTTTTATTTTTATTCAGGACTGAAGCCTACAGTAAAGGGACTGTGTTAGTATCTAATTACTTAGAAAATAAAACCTATTGTCTTCCTCCAGGGTGCTTCAGTAAAGACCAGGTATACTTGGATGGTATCCTGCAAATCCTCCGATACAGAGAGACCATTGACTTTCATCTTCTGACCGCCCTGGGGAAGGTGAGTGAAACCAGTGGCATGTCGTCTACAACACACCAGGTCATCATTTCCTCAGGCTTGATTTAATGATTAAATAAGATTCAGATTGTTTTTAGACTATGTGTTTGAAGTTTCCTGGAAGGAAGAAATAATGGTGTCACAAAACCAAACTCCAACATTTCTTTGAAGGGAATAGAAAATTTGGCAATGTATTATATGGTTTTATTTTATATACCTCTTTCTGTAAAGCATTTTAAATAAGCTGCAAGTATAACACTTCCCCCTTTAATCTGACATGACCATGTGATTTTCTTAAGAAATGTATCACTGATTCAATAACGATTCATGCCTTGCATTTGGTTATATTTCTCTTAATCTAGAGAAGTCCACTTTGTTCCCTCCCCCCCATCTTTTTACTTTTCCTGACATTTTTAAGAGTCCAGGACAGTTTTCTTGAGAATTCCTACAATCTGTATTATCCTATTGTTTTCTTGTGATTAGATTTGGGTTAAATATTTTTACCAAGAATACTATATAAGTGACTTGTATATTTTATTATTTCATCACATTAGAAAGCACATATGTGATTTTATTCCATTATCAGTGATGCTTTGATCACTTGGGTAAGTTAGTTACTGCCAGATCTCTCCCTTGTAAAGGTACCTTTTTTATATTAAATAATCTGTGGGGTAATACCTAAGAATGTACTGTTCCTTAACCTTTCAAGGAATGGTTTTAACATCCTTTGATGATCTTTGCCGATATCAGTCAACTACACTAGTGGTAGCAAAATAGAGATCTTAAATTCTGTTACATTTCACTCTTTTGCAATATTATTATGGACTTAAGTGTTTTTTTATTCAGCCCTTCCAGTGGCTGCTCCTGTGTTTTTAAAAACACGTCACCCTGTTTCCTGGCAAAGTAAAATGTTCTCGGTCCATCTTACACCTTTTCTATCCATATCTCAGATGAGATATTTCTCCAAGGAAGCCTTGATTCCTTTTAGTGAAAATGGTATTTAGAAAACCAGGTCTGAGTAGTACTAGGTGTGCTCATTACTCCTGGAATATTGATGCTTCTCGGTTTTCCCAGTGAGCAAATCTTGTATCTGTTTTAAATCATAAGGGCATTCTAATTCAAATCAGACACTACAAGTTTCTTTTACCCCTCCCTTTCCCATTCCGTATGTGTATCTCCTTTCTCTTCAAATGAGAACTGTGTTTACCAACTGCAATATTATGTTTACTTTTACTCATTCTTTCCTATAATAAACTCAGGATGGTTTAAGAAACAATGGGTTTACAAAGAAATCAAAGAGGAAATCAAAAAATAATACATGAAAACACAATGGTCTAAAAACTTTGGGGACACAGCAAAAGCAGTTCTAAGGAGGATGTTTATAGTGATACAGGCCTACCTTGAGGAACTAGAAAAGAACAAAGCTAGCAGAAAAGATCAATGAAACTAGGATCTGGTTTTTTGAAAGATAAAATTGGTAAACCTTTAGCCAGACTCGTTAAGAAGAGAAGACTCAAATCGGTTATGAAAGAGGAGAAATAACTGATACCACAGAAATACAAAGAAAATAGAAACCTACAATCCTCTAAGACTGACTGCTAGTAATGAAACTGCATCAGTAATAAATGAATTCCCAACAAACAAAACTCCCAACAGCTAGAACCACGTGGCTCCATGGATGAATTCTAAATTCTACCAAAGAAGAGTAAATAGAATTCTCAAACTCTTCCAAAAACATAGAAGAGGAAGTAAAATTTCCACATTCATTCTGCAACGCCAGCATTATCCTGAAACTAAAACCAGACACAGTCACTACAAAAAAAAACTACAGGTCAGTATTTCTGATGAATACAGATGCAGAAATCCTAAACAAAATACTACCCAAACCGAATTCAATAATACACTAAAAGGATCATTCACCATGATTAGGTGGGATTTATTCCTGGGATGCAAGGGTTGTTCAGTATTTGCAAATCAATCATGATACATCACATCAATAACAAAGAATTAAAAACCACATCATTTCAATAGATGAGGAAAAAACATTTGACAGAGTACAACATCCATTCGTGATAAAAACCCTTGACAAAGCTTTAGAGAGAACATACCTCAACATAATAAAGGCCATAAATTAAAACCCAAGAGCCAACAATGAAAAAACTGAAAGCTTTTCAAAACTCCTAAGATCAGGAATAAGACCAGGATGTCCATTCTTACCAACATAGTACTAGAAGTCCTAGCTGTCAGACAAGAAAAAGAAGTAAAAGGCATCCACATTAGTAAGAAGTAAAACCATCAGATGACATGATACTATATGATACTATATATAGAAAACCCTAAGGACTCCACCAAAAAACAGAATAAATGAATTCAGTAAAGTTACAGGATACAAAAAGAAAGCAGAAAAAGAAATTAACAATCCCACTTATCGTACTAAAAGCATAAAATACCTAGAAATAAATTAACCAAGGAGGCGAAAGACCTATATTCTGAAAACTAGAAGACACTGATGAAAGAAATTGAAGATGACACTAACAAGTGGGAAGATAACACTGTGCTCTTGGATTGGAAGAATTAATTTTGTTAAAATGTCCATACTACCCAAAGCAAGCTGCAGATTCAGTGCAATACCAAAATATCAGTAGCATTTTTCACAGAACTAGAATAATCAATCCTGAAATTTGTATGAAACCACAAACAACGTCGAATCAGCAAAGCCATCTTAATAAAGAACTAAGCTAGAAGTATAATAATCCCAGATTTCAAGATATATACTACAGAGCTATAGTAATTGAAACAGTATGGAATTGATACAGAAATAGATACATAGAGCAATGGAACAGGATAGCCTAGATCATTTAATTTATGACAGAAGCGGAGTATACAGTGGAAAAAAAGACTTCCTCAATAAATGGTGCTGGGAAAACTGGACAGCTGCATGCAAAAGAATGAAACTGGACCACCCTCTTACACCATACACAAAAATAAACTAAAAATGGATTAAACACCAAAAACCTCAAAGAAAACCTGTAGGGTTTATTTCTTGGACATATTTATGGATATATCTTGTCAGTCAAGGAAGGAAGAAGAAAAAATTAAACCACACCAGCATCAACAACAAACCTATTTTCATTACTTAGTGGTAGAAATACTCAATAAAATAATTTCAATAATAAAAATTTAAAACTTAAGGGGCATCTGGGTGGCTCAGTCAGTTAAGTGTCTGCCTTTGGCTCAGGTCATGGTCTTGGGGTCCTGGGATCGAGCCTCATGTCAGGTTCCCTGCTCAGCGGGGAGTCTGCTTCTCCCTCTGCTTGTGTGTGCTCTCTAATAAATAATATCTTAAAAAAATTAAAACTTATTAAAATATAAATGAACATGATTTCTTTAAAGCCTTTCTACTGAATGTTAATTTATAGAACTTAAAAGAATTTCATCCAAAAACTCAATGTAAATACTTATGAGAGATTGGCTTCTTACCTAATAAAAAAAATAAAAATATAAAAGTAAAAAAAAAATACTTCTTACATAAGTAAAACAATTTTATAAATACTTGCTTACAAAGAGAATTTAACATAAAACACAACTTTATTTCTGAAATTAAATAGAAATAGGAATTCAATCTATAATCGTGCCAATTTTCCTAATTCAGTGATACAGTATTTACATTCTAGCTCTTTCCTGGGTTCTTTCATTTAGATTTAGTCAGGACATTTGTTTAGGTTTTAGAGTCTCTCACACACATGTATTAAGTTTAGTTATGTAAATTCTAGACAAACAGTGTAGGTCCAAGATAGAATGTTAAATACTGACTTGATTTTTTTTTTTTTATGGTCATGGTATAAGCAGGCAGATCGATACTTTTTTTTTTTTTTTTTTAGTAGGGGTGCAGAAGGAGGGGGGAGAGAGAGAATCTCAAGCAGTCTCCATGCCCAGAATGTGAGCCCAATGCAGGGCTTGATCTCACAACCCTGAGATCATGACCTGAGCTGAAATCAGGAGCCTAACACTTAACCTCATGTGCCACCCAGGTGCCCCAATACATTCATATTTAATACAGTAAGGGAAAGGAAGCCATTGAATTTTGTTATTTTGCAGGTATTGAAGTAATGTTTCTCTTAAGACTTAGGGAAGAAGTTACTTACATTTAAAAATTAACCCACCTTCCTTTTTTCAGGTCTCTTATGAAGATGTGGATCGCTTGAAAGGATTGGCAGTTATTGAAAACATGAGGGTCCCTCATTTCCTGCAGGACCATGGCCGATACATGGAACATTTAGAGAAAATTATGGAAGTGAATGAACTGACTGACAGGGAACTGAAAGATCTTATATACTAATCAGCATTCTTGCAGATGTAGCTAAGCTATACCTCTGTGTATATTACCAGTTAGGTGCAGTTTGCACCAGCATATTTATAAAAGAAAAATGACTGTTTACATGAGTTTTCTGAAGAATGATCTGCAGTATTCAGCTGAATTTTTTAAAAAGGTTAAGTACAAACCTTAAACTGTTTCCTTTAACGTTTCTATAGGCTGCAGGGGAAAGTTCCTCCTATTTTTATCTGAATCTCAATAGAGTCCATTGAAAATACTACTGGTGAGTGTTTTTGAAGAATCTGGGTCAAATTGAGTGATAGGCTGTCTGGGCAGTAAGCACTGCTCCTAGTGCTTCTGCCTGAGCACCAAGACTAGCCCTGACTGTAGAGATAGAACAACACTGGAATTCAGACTCCCAAGAGTATATTTTATTTGATAAGTAATTGCAGTTCTTCTTTGAAAAATTAGTTTTGTTATGCTCCCCAAAGCTAGCTGTATCTAAAGTTTCTTATTTCTCTCATATGTTAAGTAATGGTAAAAAGGGGAAAAGTCGTTTGAAAAGTTTTCATTAGTTCTTTATCTTCCACGTTGTTTCACCTTATCAGTTTATAGGAACTAGAGAATTACCTCATTTTGTCCAGTTATTTCTTAACTAAACTTTATTTGCTGAAACATACACCTTCAAGATTTTAAGTTTTAGGGTCTTTCCTTCCCCATTCCTTTATATAAATGATAAGTAAAAGTTCCAGAAAGGTTTGTCTACATAGATTAAAATAGTTGGGGAAGAGAGAAGCTACTCCCTTTTATTAAATGGAGCGACTAGCAAGATACAAATAGATTAATGTAGTTCTTGTAGGCACTGGATATTGACTAGTGTCTACCATAAACTTGACCATGCTCTGAAAAATGGAATTCCTATACATTGCTATTTGATATCAAACTGGCCTTGTCAGGTTGGCTCAGTATATTTTATCAAAATCTTTGACTTCATCAACCCAATAATGACATAGTTTGAATTTCAAAAATGAGAATTCTGTTTTGCTGCATTTTCTCTGTTAAAAGCTTATACACCTAGCTTTGTATTATCAATTTCGATATATATTGGATATATATATATACTTGGGATCAAATGGTTCTTCAAACAACTTATTTTAATGATCAGGAAGAACACTGCTGTAAGCACCCCATTCAAAATTGCTACTGTAATTTTTACCCAAAGCTATCTGAGTGTTTATCTTTACCTCAGTTCAGGCTTAAATATGGTGCTAACACTGAAAGATGCATACAGCAAAGTCTGGTTCACATTCATGCTAGGAAATGATTTTAGGAAGTCTTACGCAGGCTAGGTTATGTGATTTTTCTCATTCACATATCTAGAAGGGCTTGCCTCAAAGAAGAATGTTGCAGCAAATAGGATATATTCCAACTGGCACCCGGTGGTTCTTGCAAAGCCACACATCTCACCTTTGGTAAGTAGCAGGCCAGGCCCTTTGGAGCATTAAGGCACGCACACATGTGTCATGATGGCTGGAGTGTGGCCTGTAGATTCTGTGCAGGGTTGGGGCATATTGTGCCAACACTAACCAGATATTGGAAGACCACTCTTGACCCCTCAAGCATATTTCCTTGTAGCAGAATCATCCAGTTTCAGCTTTGGTGTAGCATTTTCTAACTTCATCTTCAAACTCATCCAAGATGATTGTGAAAACAGTGTTTTGTTAACTGGAATTGGAGTATAGACAGAAATGATAATATTTATGTCCTGTGATTTAAGCCCAAATGCTTATAAATTCAACATTTGTAGGCAATAACACTGTTAATCTTATGTTATGGTTTAAATGTAAAGGAAAATCACAGCAGCCTTAATATCCTGTTGGTAGGATTATTTACAATGATTCTAGTCCCTGAATTTTAAAATGGATATTCTCTATCTGATTTGGAAAAGGAAACACTTTCCTGCCTTACTGCTTTGGTATAAAGACAAAAAGAAAACAGTGCTATCCAGACAAAAAGAAAATGACCTTAAATCACACTGATTGTCTTAAGATATTTTAAAAGTTAGCAATGAACCAAAAATAGTTTCAGATTAGCAGAATACTTAAAGAGCTCTAAGCTTTAAAAGTTGGGATTGAAGATTTAATTAATGTTTATTCTCTTTCCTGAAAGAGCATAAAGTTCAGTTTTGTTTCCTTAAAATTGAAGTTTTAATAAATAGAAAATTATAGCAACAGTACTTAGAATAGTTGAAGGTTGCATTAATTTTAATAGTTACTTGGTATAGGCTATTGAGGATTAGGATTTCATCAATTTTGTCCACTGTAATTCTAACATATAGTTGTATCAAATACAAAGTCTGATAAACTGGTAGGTGTTCATATCATATGACATTCAAAGTAAATTGTAGACGTAAATCCATAGTCTTCATTTCTTTATATTTTCACCTTTGTAAAAATGTTTAAAATTTGTATTGTTTGTTTTGTATATATCTGGGCATTTTATGTTCATCTATACTAGAAAGAAGTAGCACTGAGGTTCTCAAATGAAGTATGTGAATATGTATGCATGCAAACTTCTGTTCTTTGAAAATTATATTTTTATTGTGGTATTTCTGCATTTTTATTGTGTGGTAATTATTGATCATGTTTGTCTTCTAATATCCTTATTTATAAGGAAATACTATATTTACCACACTCCACCTTTCCCCTTATCTGAGGGGTATTAGTTCAGCTTATACTCTCATGGGTGTAGGGAGGAGGGAAAAGGAGGGATAATTTCATCTTAATTTACTGCCCTATTCATTGAGTACACTTCTGTGCAGAACTCCTGAGGAGTAGGGTCTGTGCTGAGTCCTCTGCTGAGAAAGACAGAACTGTTCGCAGTCCAGTGAGAAAGAGTGGCACAGAATCACATTATAGCATGGCCAGTCGCATACACAAAAAGTGCTACTAAAAGATCATAAACTGTAATAAATGGGCCTGCTTGTGTTTCTTGAAGCACAGAGAGAAAGATCACTTGCAAAGTGGTTAGTGTCCACAATATTTTACCACTCTTTGCAAGGCTTGTGTTTGGAATCTGAGCAGCTTTAGCCCAGGAGTAGACCAGATGTACAGCTGCTTGGGTCAAGGGCCTGGAGGCGATCCCTTGAGACCTCCAGCAGGGGCCCAAAGGAGCCAGTGCTTTACCCTTAAGCTTATTAGTCTTGGTCTTTGAATTTAAAACTTTACTTGTGAAACCTTGTCGTCTCACTTTGATTTCATCCTTTTTTGTTCACTTTGATTCCAGTAGCTAAAGGAATTATGTCTTGAAACTATTGCTGGGATGTGAAATACCACTGTTTGTCAGCTAGCTATGGAACGGTTTAAGAATACATAGAATTTTGAGAACAGAGAGGGAGGACCATATGAAGAGGAAGCAAAGAGGATGGCCATCTGCAAGCCAAAGAGAGATGCCTGGAATAGACCCTTCCCTATGGCCCTCAGGAGAGATCAAACCTGCCAATACCTTTATCTTGAACTTTTAGCCTTCATAACTGAAAGGAATTGCACCTAGAGAAAGGACAAAGCAAAGAGAGCAGAAATTTGACCACTGAGAAGAGATGACTGAACATTTTACTTTTTCCCAGCCACTCAGCCTTTACTAAAGACAATTTCAGAAGTAATGTCAGCAACATGGCTGAACAAGATGTCCCTCAATTGTGCCCCCTCCCCAATCTCCCACCAATAATTTGGCATCTATCCATGGACAAAAATGCCTTTGTGGGACTTTGGGATCCAGCAGCATATACTAAGCAACCCAGGAGGAATTTTGCCCACCCTTGCATTCTGTAAAAAACATACAGACCTAGGTCCTGGCTTGGACCCAGCAGTAGCCTGTGAACAAGCTTCAGCCCTTCTCAGCATCAGTCCGCAAACCCCTAGAAAACACTAAATCTTAAGTGGTCACCTGTGGACAAGAGAGACTTTGTATAAGTCCAGGTTTCCAGCAGAAAAGTTTTAGCACAACACTGGAGCAAAAAAAAAATACGTTTAGATGCATTAAAGAGGAATAGTTTAGATTTATCACTCCTCCCTCAAGGTGGAACAACTCAAGGCCAAAAGAGGTCTCAGCCTGTGATTTCTCCTGGGGGGCGGTGAGGGGGAGTGAAGGGGTGGGGAGAAAGTGAGAGTGAGTGCCCAGCTTCCCCAGCTGTGCAAGATGCTGCCTAAGAGGCCCATTTCACTGTGGTCCCATCCAGAGTACTGAATCATGAGCTGTGCGACTAGGGGTGGAAAGAAGCTGGGAGAGTAGCAGACATGACTTTTGGAGGTCATTAAAAGGACAGAATCTACTAATTGCTTCACAGCCTCCATTAAGCTGGCTCATGAGCTGCTAAGGATACCTTACCTGTGGATCTCCCTGAGTAGTCTATGGGGACCCCCCCAATGCTGCATGTAACACACACACACGCACACACACACACACACACACCCCCCACACCCCCCCCCCGGCTGCCTCTCTGTGTGCATCCCAACAGCGTTGAGAGCATATTTTGGCAGAGGGCTAGTGAGCATGTGCAAAAAGCCAGCCCAAATTCGTGGACCAGAGAGGCCACAAACCTGAGCTTTAGCCCTACCCTTGGGAAAGCAAAAGGAAGACTGTCAGCACTGAGCCTTGTCCGTTGCAAAATTGAGAAGGCATACAAGCTTAAGAATTCTGCCATAAGAGGTAACAAGAAGCATGTAGCAGGCATATCCATAGACAGAAAGTCAGATTCTCTACCAGAGCTGACTGAAGGTATTCTTTTTTTTTTTTTTAGATTTCCATTTATTCATTTTTAGAGAGCACATGTGAGTGGGGAGGGGGGAGGAAGAGAGAGAGAGAATTCTTAAGCAGACTGCCCACTAAGCACGGAGCCCACATGGGGCTCAATCCCAGGACTCTAAGATCATGACCTGAGCTGAAATCAAGAGTCTGATGCTTAACTAAGCCACCCAGGCACCCCCGAAGGTATTTCTCGAAAATAGTAAAGATAGGAGATGACTGCTACTTCAAATACAAAGACAACAATGCAAAACTCTAAGGAACATGAGAAATCAAGGAAACATGACACCACCAAAAAATGATAATCTAGTAACTGAACCCAAAGACATGGAGATCTGTTTACCTGATAAGGAATTCAAAGTATCTGTTTTAAGGAAGCTTAAAGGTACAAGTGAGGTACAAGAATACACAGACAATTCAGTGAAAACAAGAAAACAATACATGAACAAAATGAGCAGTTTAACAATGGTATCATAAAAAGGACAAAGCATACTCTGGAGTAGAAGAATACAATGAATGAAATGAAAAATACAATAGCACCAACACCAAAGGATCAAGTGGAAAAAAAAAAATCTAAGAATTAGAAGATGGGAATTTTGAAATTATCCAGTCATGGGAGAACAAAGAGAAAAAGAATGAAAAAGAGTGATGAAAGCCTATGTGATCTATAGGATACCATTAAAAGAAATAATTTGCAAATTATTGGACTTGCAGAAGGAGAGAGGGAGAAGCGAGAAGAAAGCTTATTTTTTAAAAAAAAATAAGGCTAACACAAAAGGCTAAAAACTTCCCAAACCTGAGGAGAAATTTGGATATCCATATTCACGAAGTTCATAGGTTACCAAACAATCTCAGAAGCCTTCTCCAAGACACAATAAAACTACCAAAAATCAAAGAATCTTAAAAGCAGCAAGAGTGGAGAAGCTTGTAACTTAAAAGAAAACCCCATACTGTTGTCAGATTTCTCAGCAGAAACGTTACAGGCCAGGAGAGAGTGGGATGATATATTCAAGTGCTGAAAGAAAAAATAACTGCTGAGCATCATAGGAGGACCCTAAGCTCACCTTGTCCCATGGATACAACCACCTAATACAACAACTAGATAGCATTCATATCAGTGTGAATAACCCAGAAAATGGCCCAAAGACTGGCAGAACAAACTCCACAACTAAAGGCTAGGAAGGGGCCGCATCGAAGGTAGGAAGGGCAACAGTGCAGTCTGGGAGCGAAACAGACAATGGCCATCCACTGTGGGGATGGAGCTAGTGGCACAGAGAAGGGCAGAAAATAGACTTTCACACTGGGGAGCCCACGAATGGGGAGGATGAATCTCCATAAAGAGGGCCTTTCACAGTTTGGCTATTGTGGACATTGTTGCTATGAACACTGGGGTGCATGTGCCCCTTCTTTTCACTACATCTGTATCTTTGGGGTAAATACCCAATAGTGCAATTGCTGGGTCATAGGGTAGCTCTATTTTCAACTTTTTGAGGAACCTCCATACTGCTTTCCAAAGTGGCTGTACCAACTTGCATTCCCACCAACAGTGTAAGAGGGTTCCCCTTTCTCCACATACTCTCCAACATTTGTTGTTTCCTGCCTTGTTAATTTTTGCCATTCTAACCAAGATGTCCTTCAACAGACGAATGGATAAAGATGTGGTCCATATATACAGTGGACTATTACTCAGCCATCAGAAAGAATGAATACCCACCATTTGCATCAACATGGTTGGAACTGGGGGGGGGGTTATGCTAAGTGAAATAAGTCAAGCAGAGAAAGTCAATTATCATATGGTTTCACTTATTTGTGGAACATAAGGAATAGCACGGAGGACGTTAGGAGAAGGAAGGGAAAAATGAAGGGGGTGGGAATCGGAGGGGGAGACGAATCATGAGAGACTATGGTCTCTGGGAAACAAACTGGGTTTCAGAGGGGAGGGGGGGTGGGGGGGTTAGCCAGGTGATGGGTATTAAGAAGGGCACGTATTGCATGGAGCACTGGGTATTATACACAATGAATCACAGGACACTACATCAAAAACTAATGAAGTACTGTATGGTGACTAACGTAACATAAAAAAAGAAAGCAAAAGAAAAAGTGAGAGGGGCCAAATTTCAGGAGTTCTTAAAACCAGTGATTTAATGCCTGGAATTTTAAAAATCTTTGGGCTCAAGTCTGGGAGAGCCTTGAGGGTATCAGGAAGCTGAGTCACTGCCCTTAGCTCAACAAACAGCTCATGCAGATACAACATAGAACCAGTAGTTTGAAACATGCTGGGGGCAGACAGAAGGAAGAGTGATCTGCTCATCTCAGAGCATGGCTGGACAAACGGATCACAGGGAAACTCCTCCAGGGACAGAGGAGCTAGCAGGTGTAATTTCCTTCCTACAGCCTCCCCACCTCCCACTTCCCCACCTCCCCCACCCCCATATAAACAATGGGCACCTGCAGGAACCAGTACAGTGCTGCCACTCATTAGCTAATTTGCTTACACCAAGCCCTACCACCCCTGCTTCAGCAGATCTGCCCTTCCTATTCTAGCTTGCCCGAGTTCCTGCACTGTAGGTCCTCCAGAAGACCTGCACAAACTCTGCCAACACTACATCTCCAGACCTGCGTGTCTTGTGGAACCTCAGTTCTGGTAGTGGTGGGACCAGGTCTCATTTTACAAGATGATCTCACCACATTAAAATGTTAAATACTAAAATGTGCCCCACCCCTGCTGGTGACCAAACACTGCCCACAATAGGCAAAGACAGCCTCTGCAGACAACTGGAAGAAGGAAAAAGAGGCCAAGACTCAACAGCAGAGCACATGCAACACACATAGGTGACACTCCCTCAAGTGCCAGGCCCTGGGGAATAGGACATTACACTGCACGGCACTACAGGACCTCTCCTTCATAAGGCTATTATCATTAAGAGCAAGAGAAGTAGCTGACTTTCCTAACACATACAAAGTCAGACAAGATGGGGAGACCAAGAAACATCTCCCAAATGGAAGAACAGAACCAAACCACAGCAAGAGCCCAAAGCAAGAGAGATATAATATGCCTGAGAGAGAACTTAATGATCACAAAAACACTCAGGGGAATGGAGAAAAGAGTGGAGGAAATCAGTGAGACCCTTAACACAGAGATAAAGAAGAACCTATCAGAGATCAAGAACACAGTAAGTGAAATTAAAAATACACTTGATGGAATAAATAGGAGGTCAGATGAAGCAGAGGAATGAATTAGTGACCTGGAAGAGAGAGTAATGGAAAATAACCAAGCAGAGCAAAGGAGAGGAAAGAAAATAATGCAAATTGAGAACAGTCTTAGTGACTCCATCAAATGTAATAACTGCATTATAGGGTTCTCAGAAGAAGAGAGAGATAAGGGGGCAGAAACTTTATTTGAAGAAATAATAGCTGAAAACTTCCCAAATCTGGGGAAGGAAACAAATATTCAGATCCCAAAGGCAAGATATTTCCCCAAAAATTCAACCCAAGGAGGTCCACACCAAACACACAGTATTTAAAATGGCAAAAAGTAGTGATAAAGAAAAAAAAAATTAAAAGCAGTAAGAGAAGACAGTTACATACAAGGGAACCCTGATAAGACTATCAGCTGATTTTTCAGCAGCAACTTTGCAGGCCAGAGGGGGGTGGCATGATATATTCAAAGTGCTGAAAGGGAAAAAATCTGCAGCCAAGAATACGCTACCCAGCAAGGCTATCATTCAGAATAGAAACAGAGATAGAGTTTCTCAGACAAGCAAAAACTAAAGGAGTTCTGACCACTACACCAGTAAAGGGGAGTTTTTGAGTGCAAAGGAAGACTATAAATTAGAGTATGAAAAGTAAACACAGAAACAGTAAAAATAAATATTTCTATAAAAAAAATCAGTCAAGGGATCCATAAAAGGATGTAAAATATGACACCATATACCTAAAATGTGGGGGGGGGAGGGAGAGGAGTAAAGAATGGGTTTAAACTTAGCAACCATCAACTTCATATAGACTGCTATATGCAGAAGATCTTATACACAAACCCAATGGTAACCACAAATCAAAAACCAGTGATAGAGGGGCGCCTGGGTGGCTCAGTCGTTAAGCGTCTGCCTTTGGCTCAGGTCATGATTCCCAGGGTCCTGGGA